GTTTGGCACGTTCTCGTGAGTGGTCTAAGCAGCTATCGGCAGATGGACTGAGGACTGTAGACACAGAGGTCGAATTGCTTCTGCTGCCCCATGTTCCTTAGTAGCTGTGACAACTTTCAGCTTCCCCAACAAATGGTCTCACAGAATCATAGATTATCACATCTGCCGGGGTCCAGCCTCAGCGGGGGTGAGTTGACTTGTCAGAGGCGACGCTGGAAAAGAAGAAGACTAAGACCTTGGTGCCTTTTTCATGTACATCCTTAGCCAGACACCCCCCACCACCACCACCCAAAGATTGCTCTCTGAGGAGTGACAACTGCTAGGAATCATTGTGTGTCTTTATTGAAAATGTGATACATGCAAGTAAACAGGAGAGGGGCTACGTGTTTCAATTATTAGCTCATAAAGTTTTAACAATAGAGAACATAGATTCTATTTAGGGTTGGATTAAGGGTGGGTCTAGTGCAGTTCTGCAATTGTTTATTTGATGTAGGTGGGTCTTCATGGAGTACAGTTTCAGGAAAGTGGCTCTAGTAAGCAGAGATGATTATCAGCTGATGCGGCGCATCAGCCATCTTGTAATTACCGGGAATGGTGCTGAGAAAAGAAAATCTCAAGTATAGATATTAGTTCTTATGGATCTTAATAAAGAATGGAACTTATGTAATTGTATGGTGATCTAAAACTTAATTCAAGGAACCCTAATATATCTTAAAGGGGTAAAATTTATTGTTTACTAGGTAAGGTGGGGACAGCCTTTTCAACTGGCGGTAAAGTGACCAGCAAGTTAATGAAGAACTTTAAGGTGAGTTTGTGGTATACTTAAAACGTTCTGTTGTGCCTGTGGTGCCACTGCTATGTATTTTGTTAGAACATTAGCCATAGTGGAGCAGGAGTGCCCTGGGCCCATTTTGGCCTAAAAGATTATTCTCAAGCTTCTTGAAGGGCCTTCCAAAGGTCAAGAAAATTTCTGCCTAGATGTGACTTTATCACACTCTCTATTGTGACTGTCCGGAGTAAAGCATTGTAATTAACAGTAGGTAGTCAGAGCAAAGGGGAGCAGTCGGGGACTTCCTGGAAAATTTTATCTTATACTCAGGATGTATAAGAGAGCTATGTAATTTTTTTGCATGGAGAGTCAGGGGTGGGGGTCGCTTTCCAGCAAGGCTACCACAGTTTTCTGGAGCAAATAGCAAGCAGCCTTGCTAACATGCTAATTTGACCTAAGTCTTATTCCTAGGTCAGGGGGGTACACAGCAGTGGCCTTGCCAACGTGCTGTCCCGACCTAAGAGGTATAGGTCAAAAAGCTCAACACAGATCCTGGGGCCCTACCGGGTCAGACTCCTCCACACTGCTTCTGGGTTAGAGGGATTAGAGTTGGTCTGACCCTCTGCCAGCTATTTTACACAGAAAGCAGCCCCCTTTCCCCCAAAACTCCACCACAGGCCCAGGGTACAATCTTAGCCTCTGAGGCAGCAGCTGCTTGCTGATGTATTCTTCCGGCCGGACTGTGGCCTCTGCACTGGGCCCAGCATCCTGGTCAGCATGATTTTCAAGGTGTTGGGTCCTAGAATTGAACTCTGTTGGCCATGTGGGATCTAGTCACCTTAACCACAGTGCCACAGGCTGGCCCCAGACTTCAAAAATTCTTTAGAGAGGAAGTAGGCTGATTAAAAAAAAAAAAAGAAGAAAGAAAGAAAAAGCACCAGCTGAAATCACATGCTCCCTATCCCTTCATGAAAAATAGAGAGCATTGCTTAGATAGCAGAGTCAGGCAGAGAGGGTAGACCTGGGAGATGCAGAGAACTTTGATCAACCCTGGAACCTAATGGAGTCTGCCTATTGGATTTTTTAAATTTTTATTTCATTTCATTTTATTTTCATTTATCCTATACATTCAATCACTGTATATCCCTTAACTTGTAAAGTGAATCTTACCAGGATGAATACACTTCACACCAGTCTAATTAAGGATACTATACACATTATCATCAACATATAGTAATCCATTTCTGTGTCCCATAAATGCCTTCCCTCTCTATTTTTCTCCCTAATGTTTTTCCTTACACACTCCTCCTTCTCCCACCTTCTTCCCACACTGTATCCAATATCCATAACCATTTTCCATACTTCTATATCCTCTCATCTTTTAGTTTCTGAAATAGAGTGCAGATAGTTGGTATATTTTAAGTGGAGATATACAATGCCTCTCATTCAGGGCCTGGCTTGCTTCACTCAGCAGTAAATCTTCCATATTCATCTACTTTCTATCAAAAGTCAGAGTCTTGTTTTTTATGACTGAGTAGTATCTACTCAAAGGACAGGAGAACACTTAGTCAAAAAAGTACTTGCACATCTCTGTTTTTTGCAGCATTATTCACAATTGCTAAGGCATGGAGCCAAACCAAATGTCCATGGACAGATGAATGGATTGAAAATGAATTGGATTTTGATACTGCTTAAAACTGATGGTTCTTGAACCAGCAGTTAGCATAATGGCTATGTTGCTAGACTCCCACGTAGTCAATCGTGGTTCGTGTCCCGAACCCGGTGGCTTAAAACTCAAGCCGGGCGTATGTGCATGTGTGCCCAAGATCCCGAGAGGAGAACGGAGGAGAAGGGATTGCGGCATGGCCATCCCCCCGGGGGGTGATTTCTCACTTTCTGTCTCTCTGTCTCTCTCTGTCTGTCTGGCGAGTGCATGCACCCTATAGCAAAAACATCTCCCCCCACAAAAAACAAACAAACAAACAAAAAACCTGATGGTTCTTTTCTGTCTTCCATTTTATCCCTGCATGGGAATGTCTATACCTGTCAACCTAAACTTGTCTTACCATTGTATTTTAGGAACAGGTAATCAGTTGTGGAGCTTTACAAGTGCTTAGATGAAGAAGAATTTCTCCTCAGGATAGAACATCATGGAATCTCACCTATGTATTATTTAGAAAATTTAGATGATGAGATTTGTGTCTTTTGAACTGATGATATTTAGATGAGATTTTGCATTTGAGATGATGGTGTAATAAGCTGAAACTTTGAGGCATGTTATGATAGAGTGAATGTGTTTTGCATGTGGGATAAATATGAATTTTTAGAGGGCAGAGGACAGTCTATGTAAACTCCATCAAAGGTCACTATGTCCTGATCCCTAGGACCTGAGTATGCTGCTTGTAGGAAAATAGATTCTGTAGATGTATTTAATCAAGCAGTGTAAGATGGTATGATTATTCAGTGTTATCCAGGCGGGTCCTAAGTATAATGTTCTTATAAGATGAGGAAAAAGTCAAAGTACCAAAAAGGCAATGTTGAGATAACAGCAAAGATTGGAGTTATGTGGCCACAAGCCAAGGAATTCTGGCCACATCTAGAAGCAGGAATAAACAAGGGACTGATTCTCTAGAGAGTCCAGGGGAATTAGCCCTGTGATTATCTTGAGTTTATTCCCATAAGACTCATTTTAGTTTTCTTACTTACTGAAGTTCAGAAAGGCAGTTGAATAAATTTGGATTGGTTTTGGCCCTTAAAGTTTTGGAAATTTGTTGTGGCAGCAATAGAATACTGGTACATTAAGTTTATGTCGTGAATTTGTGTAAGATCCAGGACCATATGAGACAGCATTCTTTTCGTCTTCTGTTATTATTTCTGCGATGTTTTAATAAATTGAGCTTTGTTGCAGTCTAGTGTTGTAGCAGCAGAATAAGCCCTAAGTACATATAAAGAAACAGTACAAAGGCACAATGTCTATAAATAAAAATAGAACATTTTCATGGCAATACAAAAGTCACCTGGAGCATCTGGGTCAACCTTGAGAGTTTTGGAAACATCCCTCTCATTTCAAAAAATTTGCAGAGCAGGTTGGAATCCTGGAATCATCCACTAAATTCAGGTAATTTTATGTAAATTCAGGGTAATCTAAGTTTTCCTGAGCCTGAAGCAGCAGGATGTGGGGTGGACAGGAAGTGGGGAGGGCAAAGAGGGTCTGTTCTCTGGGTCCAGCCTTTTATTTTGATTATTTTTAATTTTCTAGAGGGCATGTGCACTTGCTGAAGAGAGATAGATAGAGTAGGAAAATGTGAGAAAGTACCACCCACGAGGAAGTGTTATGCCACAATCTCTTCTCCATTTCTCCTTCTTTTCAAGATTTTGGGTTTGCATGCATGCCCAACATGTTGGGTCAGGAAATCAAACTGTGTGGTCAGCCATGGGGATGCAGTTGCCTTAACCACCACACCAAAGGCAGACCCCCCCCTCTCTGGGTGCATCTTGTCATGTTATGCATATTTTCAAATTTGGAGGAACTATATGAAAAAAATGGAAAAGCTGTATGGTCATTGGCAGGTTTTAGTCCACTTTTTTTCCCCCTTTGTTCATTCCTAATGATATAGACTCTTTTTTCCTCTATTTGTTTCTACTGATATAGACTCTTTTGGCTCTGTTCTTTAGTGCTGTTAAGTTTTGAATGAGTAGCTTGAGAACTCTCTGAAATACTACACTAAAAATTCCATACTCTAAATCTCATATTCCACACTTGGTAACACCAACATACATTTCTTCTTTTTCCCCGAATGGCTCCTTGATCTCCCATTCCACCCAGGGAAGGTAATCAGCTGCTGTGTGTAGCTCCCTGGGCAACATTTGGTCATTTGATAAGGCCTCTTTGGATCTATCATTAGAACCCAAAGCAAAAAATATACCTTTGGAAATTTGGTGTTATAGTAGCCATGTGATTAAATGATTTCAACTTGGGAAAGCTGAAGCCCTCATAAAATCATGGAGAAATATTTCTGTCTCTTTAAAAGCAGTTTCTTTACTGGCTCCTCCCAATACAGGCTTCCTGACTGAGAGGTTTTGGTGGGGACACAAACACTTTTGCCTCACAGTTAAAGAAAAAGCACCAGCTCAAACAGCTTCCTTGGGGATAACCTGAGACCTCATCGACGTGTTCAGAAGAAGGTGAGTCTGACTGAGAAGAGGACCCAGAGTGATAGAGCTGTGAGGGGCAGGAGGGGACAGGGCATCTGCATGGGGGTGGGTTCTGGTCTAGGAGGGACAAGGTCCGGAGCCAGCAGAGCTGCATGAAGGATTGAAGGCTGCTGGGGAGGGCGGCAGGAGAGGATGGAGGATTCTGCCAGGTGGTGGGGGAGGGGAGTATGAATGTTATTAGCCTGCTGACCGCTCAGCTCCTACTTAGCTGGACAGGCTTGTACTGAACAAGTACCTTCCCTCCATGCAGTGGCTCTGTGATAGCCATGGTCAGACAGCCTTAATAGGAAGTGAAGTGCTCTCAAGGCAGATTTTTAGAGCTAGAAGGCATCAGAGACCACTTGTCTACTAGAAAAAGCAAGAAGCAGAATCTCAGAGAGTTCGGTGACTCTCCCAGGGCCAGGGCACCAAGGACGAGGAGAGCGACAACTCAGTCTGCTGACTCCCACATGTGGAGGGAGCAGCTGGGACCTGATAGTGGATCCTGTGGGGGAGGAGGGCGTGCTGTGGGGACAGGAGCAGTCACGCTGCAGACACAGCGGACCCTCTAAGCTTCCAGACTCTGAGTGACTGAGTCATTTTTCAGTCATTGTTTTCTTTCATGCCAGTGGCATTTTGTAGCAGCTCTCTCTGTACTAAGTGTCTGCTGGGCTCTGGGTGATGGAAGAGACCTTTCCAGAAACCACTCTAGGGAAGTTCATGGCAACCCTGCAAGGTGGGTTTTCTTGTCCCTTTCTGTGGCAGAGAGAACGGAATCTCAAGGAACTTAAGGAAATTTCTGGAAGTGGTGTGTCTGGGCCAGTTTGGGTGAGTCCACTTCCAAAGGACATGCTTATTTCACTTCTCAGTCCTTCTCTTAGCTGGAGGCTCTCTGAGTCTTCCAAAAACACATGAGAACATTTAAAAAAAATTTTTTTCCCTTTTGATAGTTTATGAGATTTTAAGAAGGGAAGAGAAAGAAAAACTAGCTAAGAAGGCGTGGCTGTCCTCAGGGACTTCCCTGTTGCAACAGCTCCCAGGCCACCTTCTGGAGAAGTGTGGACTGTCCCCGCACTGCCCTGATCTCTCTCTTATCCAGTGTAACTGACATTTGGAATTAGGACCTGAGGAGAACCCAAGACGAGGCCGTTGTGTGAGTGGGAGCATAAAGAGCCAGCAGGTTTGTGCTCGGGTTCCTCATCTTCCCAATACCTGTTGGCACAGTGACCTTGGGGAAGTTTCCTGGCATTTCTGAATCAGGTCAGTTCCCTTCCATAAAAATTAGGATAATAAAATCAGTTTTGTCACACAATACTTTTGATGTGTGAATGGCTTAATATAGGAAACATGTTTACCAGAGTACTCTGCTATACAGTCACACTCAGTAGTGGTCACACTACACATAGGTCAAGTTTTTATTGTGGAAAAACTTCTAGTTATTCAAAGGTAAAACGAATAGGATAAGGAGTTTCCATGTACCTATGTCGAACTTCCACAATTACCAACTTGTGCCAGTCTTGTTTTGCCTACTTCTCAACCCCCATTCTCCTCCTGATTTTAAGAAGCAAATGTTAGATAATACCTTATTTTAGAATACACTTTCTCCTGGGAGCTCTCATTTCTTTGGTGGGAAGATCACTAGCGGGCATTGAGGATGCTCATTGCTACTGCCAACCATTGTATATGCCTTTATACGAACTTCAAAACTGCATGCACCCCCCACACATAAAACTTAATATGTTTCCTAAAAAGAGAGTAAGATTTGTACAGGTTCGTTTTGGTTTTGTACTTAGGGTATATCCCCCTGAATAAGGACAGTGGGATTACTGCATTCTCAAGTCTCTCGCCAATTCTTGGTGTGGTCCATCACCACACAAAATATAAGTACATTAATATGTTTCTTTTTCTTTCTATTTTTACTGATGCTTTAAAATACAATTTTTTTGTATAATTATGTAAACTAAGTGGTTTCAAGGTGAAATCTTTACTAATGAAGTATATTTGAAGAAGTCTAGTTTCCAGGGTCTATTACTGTTCCCTTCTCCCTACACTTCATCCTTATATAAGAAAATTTGTTTAGTATTCAGATGATCTTGCCATTGATTTTCTCATATGTATTAATTACATATAAGTCACATTTGTCCTTATTAGATGAATAATAGTAAAGTATATATTATTTTCTCCACTTTGCTTTGCTCACTTACTGATGTTGCCTGGTGATTTCTTTTGAGTGGGATATGGAGGCATTTCTTAGTTTTCTTTACAGCTGGGTCACTGTATGACTATCCTTAGTTCATTTGACTGCCCCTCTCCTCCATGAACATTTTATAGGCTTTTGGTCTTTTGCTATTACTAAAAATAATGCCATCAAAAGCCTTGGTCAATTTCCTTCCATATTGCCAGTGTGGCTTTGGGATAAATTCTAAAATTGAGATTAATAATCAAAGAGTGAATATATATGTAGCTCTTCAAGGTATTGCTGACTTTTCTATAGGTCTTAAACTATTTTTGCACTCCCACTAGTCGTATAAGAGATGATCTGTTTCCCCACATCGTTACTAACGGACCATGCAGGCAACCTTTTGGCCTTTTGCCAAACCTGTATGTGTAATTAATAGAAAGATAGAGTAACTTTAATTAATTTATTTTTCACTATGCATGTATTTTTCATTATGAAAAAATTTGAATATATTTTTATATGATCAAAGGACTTTGCTTTTTTTTCTTAGAACTGTCTTCATGTCTCTTGCTCAATTTTCTATCAAGTTATAGTTCTCACATTTCTCTACTTTTAGATATTTTTTGTATAATAGAAAAGTTAACCCTCTTTGATATAAATTGGAAAACCTTTTCCCTAGTTTGACATTTGTATTTTAACTTGTGTTTAGTTTGATGTTTGTATTTTTTGCCAGAAACTATTATAATTTTTATGTAATCAAATTTATCAGTATTTTCTTTATATTGTTTTAAGTCTTAGAAACGCTTTTGCCACCCTCAAAGAGCAACAACAACAAAACCCATGTATCCTTTATTATTTGTATAGCCTGCTTATTACATCTAAATTTCTAATCTATTTGGAATGTACATGGAATGAGGGAATGGATATAATTTTATCTTTTTCTATATGCTTTTATAGTTATTCTAACGTTGCTTGTGAAACTGGCTATCATTTTGAGATGAGAAGCTGCCTTATGGAGTATAAGTGAAACATATTTGAGTAGAGTATAAATTAATATAATGTGAACAATGGTCTATTTATGAATATTCTGTTTTGTTTCATGGTTCTTCTCATTCACCAACACCATACTACTTTAATTATAGAGACTATCATGCTTCACTTTCAGGCAGAGCTTGTCTTCCCTTGTTGTCTTTTTTTTTCATGATTGTCCAGGCTAACTTGTTTTCTTCATCCAAATGAACTTTAAAATCAACCTCTTTAGCTCTTGGGTGGGGCGGGGAAGATGCCAAACTCTTAAAAATTTACAGTGGGGCCAGTAGGTCGTGTAGTGGTTAAGGCATTGGAATCCCATGTGGTTAGTCACAGTTCAAGTCCCAGACCTGGTGGCTTGAAACTCACACCAGCTGCATGTGTATGTGTGTGCCCCAAAATCCCAAAAGTAAAAGGGAGGAGAAGAGATTGCAGCATGGTCATCTCCCCAGGGGCGGGGGGTAGGGTGGGGGAGATTTCTCCCTTTCTGTCTTTCTGTCTATAGCAAATATCTCTCTCTTAAAAAAAAATGATATTTACGGGACCAGCACGTAGCATGGTGGTTAAGAGGATCTGTCTCTGTCTCTCTCTGGTGAACACATGCACCCTCTAGGGATAAAACCTAACAAATTTTACACTTACAGAGAATCATTTTAAAGAAATATCTATTTATTTATTTATTTATCCCTATTTTATTAAATGCTTTAAATATGAATTGATGTTAACTATTTTTCTGAAGCTAAAGTCATTTTTTCCTTCTATTAATAGAATGTGTTGTGACAATAATTTTTGTCATACTGAACCCACCTTGGTATCTCTGAAATAAGTCACACAATCATGGTTATTATTTATTAGTGTCTAATAATTTATTTAGAGTTTTTGTATCAATAGTAACAAGTTAGACACACCTGTAACTTTCTTTAATGACAAAATATTTACAGCTTTTGGGGTCAATATTATACTTGCCTCATAGAAAGAATTTAAAGTTTTTCTTCTTTATAAATGGTCAGACTCTAAGTGATATTGAAATGATCATATCTTTAAAGTTTTAATAAAATCCCCCTGTGAGACCATCTGCACTATACTGCAGGGATACTCTACCTTCTTTGTTATTTCTTCATATAATTGGACTGTTTCATCTTTTTATAGCTACAGGGATTGATATAGATAATATAATATTAATTTTCAGTGAGGGAATAAAAGAAGAGTTGGGAATGGTTTCCATTATTTAAGTTGGCCCTTGTTTTCTCTCCTTCACTTCTTTAAGGTCTTGTGCACCCTAAGGTTTAGAGTCTCCTTACATGAACATGGCTGACCATCAGGACAACACTCTGAGGATCGTTCTGGTAGGGACGACTGGAAGAGGGAAAAGTGCCACAGCAAACACCATCCTTGGGGCAAAAATATTTGCTTCTAAAATTTCTGCGTATCCAGTTACCAAGACTTGTCAAAAAGCAACCCGGAAATGGAAGGGGAGAGACCTTCTCGTTATTGACACCCCAGGGCTCTGTTACACCGACAGCCTGGGCACCACATATTCTAAAATCAGCAATTGCATCATCTTCTCCTGCCCAGGCCCTCACGCCATTATCGTGGTTTTGCAAGTGAGCCGCTTCACAGTGGAAGAGCAGAAAACAATTGCACTGATCAAGGCTGTCTTTGGGGAGCCAGCCATGAAGTACATGATCATCTTGTTCACTCGCAAGGATGAGCTGGAAAATCAGAGCCTCAGTGACTTTATAGAAGAGTCAGATGAGAAGCTAAAAACGGTCGTTAAGGAGTGTGGGAATCGCTGCTGTGCCTTCGACAACAAAGCAGGCGAGGCTGAGAAGGAAGGTCAAGTGCAGGAGCTGGTGGAGCTGATAGAGACCACGGTGCAGGGAGGGGCATACTTCTCTGATGACACTTACAAGGAAACAGAGGAAAGTCTGAGACGACAGGCAGAAGTTCTGAAGAAATCCTACACTGATCAACTAAATGCAGACATTCTTCAAGTAGAGAAGAAATGTGATAAATTAAAGCAGGAAAAGGAGGAAAAAATAAGATCACTAAAGATGGAATATGACAAAAAAATAAGAAATATAAGGGTGGAAGCCGAGAGGAATGTATTCACAGATGTTTTAAAGGTGCTGAAGGGGATGCTTTCAGGAATATGGCATATGTTTTCGAAATAATCTAAATTCCATTGTTTCTTTTAATTTGTTGTGATTTGCTAATGTGGGGATATATATTTTACAAAGTGGCTACAAAAATATCTCCCATCCAAGACTTACTGAGGTACAACTGACAAATAAAACTTGTGATATTTTGATAGATGTGTGTGTGTGTGTGTATATATATATATATATATATATATATATATATGATTAAATCAAGATAATTATCTGTTATCTCACACAATTAATTTTTTGGTCTAATAATAATATTTAAGCTCTACATTTAACCAATTTCAAAAATACAGTACACAGTATTAGTGACTGTAGTCACCAGATTGCACGTAGATTCTCAAGAACTTACTCATTCTGCACAATGAAAGCTTTGTGTGCTTTGGCTAACATCTCCTCATGTTTCCACCATGCAGCCCCTGGCAATCGCCTTTCTGCTGTGTCCCTCTGGGTGTTTAGTTTTTCATATTCCTTATACAAGAGAGATCATGCAGTTTGTCTTTTCCATGCCCGGCTTATTTCACTGAGCGTAAGGCTCCGCAGGTTCATCCACGTGTCACAGATGACAGAATTTCCTTCTTGTTATGGCTGTCAGTGGGGTGTTAGCACACTACAGCTTCTTTACCTGTCCATCGCCATGTACCCTCGGGTCTTCCCGTATCTCGGCTATTGTGAATAAAGCTGCAGCAAACTTGGGAGCTCCGATACTTCTTCATGAATATTATTTATTTATTATGATAAATATTATAATATTATTTCCTTTTCCTTTGGCTATTGTCTTACTTCATTCAGGCTGCTATAACAAAAACCATAAACAACAGTTTATAAACAACAGAAGCTGGTGAACAACAGACACTTAATTCTCACAGTTCTACCGGCTGGGAGGTTCGGAATCAAGGGGACAGCTGAGTGGTTCGGCGAGGGCCTGCTTCCTCACGGACAGCCATCTCTCGCTCTGATCTCCTGTGGTGGAAGGAACAGGGGTCTCTCTCAAGCCTCCTTTAGAAGGGTGCTAATCTCACCCTTGAGGGATCTGTCCCTAGGACGGAATCATCTCCCTAAGGCCTCATCTCCCAATATCACTGCCTTGGGAGTAAGGATTTCAATATATAAAATTAGATAGGATATAAACATTGAGATGAGAACATTCTATTCCTAGAAACCACAAATTCATGTCCTTCTTACATGCAAAGTATGTTCATTTCATCACAATAGCCCCCAAAGTCTTAATTTGTTCCAGCATCAATTTTAATATCAAAGTCCAAAGTGTCTTCTAACTATTATTCAAATCAGAAAAGGAAGGTGGTTTGGTGAGACTTAAGGTACAATGTATTCTGAGGTAAATTGCTCTCCAGATGTGAACCTGTACAATCAAATGTCATGTGCATCCAAAATGCAGTGGGAGGGCAGGCGTGGAATAGGCACACCGACCCCCAAATAGGAAAGAAGAAATGGGTGATGGTTACCAGGCAAATCCAGAACCTTAAGGCTCAAGAACAATCTTCCTTGGCTTAATACTCTGTCCTCCAGGCTCACTGACTTTCAGATCTGGTGGCCGTCCAACCTTCAGAGCTTCAGTTGCCTCCATAGCTTTGGGCAGTCCTGGCCCCATACATTGCTGGATGCACCACGTACCATACCAGAACCTTCCAGAGCTGCACTTGGGGGAACCAGGACGCCTGGTGATGAAGTGTGGGAAGTCGAGTTCACAAAGCAAGGCAGACTGGGCGGCAGCAGCCCTGCCTTGAAATCGTTCTGCTCCTCGATCCCTAGTGCTCTGGGCTTGCGAAGGTGGGAGCATCCCGATGGGCTCTGAAATGCCTTTGGAGTCATTCTATTGTCTTGGACAACAGGTCTGGCTTCTGTTAAAGTGATGACTCATCTCCTCACTGTCTTGATCAAAAGCACTGGGCTCAGGGCCGGCAGATGGCGTGGTGGTTAAACGTGCTGAACTCTCACATGGCCAACCACGGTTCAAGTCCCAGACCTAATGACTTACTTTCTCACTTTCCCTCTATCGCTCTCTGATCAAACTGGAAAATAATAATAATAATAATAATAGTAAATAAATTTAAATAAAAAACAATCCTCGTTTAAAAAGCACTGGGCTCCTTTGACGTAGCTGATACTACCCTTTTTTAATTTTTGTATTTCTACATTTGAAAATGTATATTTAATCACTGTATATCTTTTTTTTTTTTTTTGAGAGGTTTTTGCTATAGTGCGCTCACCAGAAAAAGAGAGACAGGGAGACAGAAAGAGAGAAATCACCCCCTAGGGGGGATGGCCACACCACAATCCCTTCTCCTTCATTTTCCTCT